TGATCTGTAAATACTCAGTTCTTCTCTTCTTCGTTCCATCTCCCATGTTGTTTTCAGTTCTTTGTTATTATTTTTTCATTATTTGCTGAAACGGTTGATTGAATCTCTGATCATCTTCTCCTAGCGCGTGGTTACTTTTTTTCGTTTTTTTTTGGGTTTCTTCTTCCTCTTCTTGTTCAATCATTACTCTTCATTTGCTTGATTACTTCTCTATCTCCATGCATACTTTATCTGACACCATTCTTACTTTCTAAACCCGGTGGACTTGACTGAGGAACTTTTCTCTTGGTATAAACAATTCTCTTCATTTTCTTTGTGAGCTGTCAGTTATTTTTGGAGAAGACAGACCATTTCACATCCTTCCGGTCTTATGCAAATTGGTTCTTGCATGAGCAAATTAGATATATTGAGGAAGGCGTAAGAGTTCTTTTGTTGAAGTGTGTTTGTTTGGTTTTCTATTTTAACAATCAGAACCCAGAAAAAGGAAAAAAAAAAAATTAGTTTTTATGCCTGTTTAATGGTGCAAATGTTTCAGGATGAAGCATCATCTTCTGTAACATCTTCACCTCTCCAGTTTTTTTCCACGATGTCAGTCTCACCTAGTTTAGGCTCACCTTACCCTTGGCTTAAGGAACTGAAATCTGAGGAGAGGGGTTTGTATTTGATCCATTTGTTGCTTACTTGTGCCAGTCATGTAGCCTCTGGTAGCCTTGAAAATGCTAATATTGCCCTTGAGCAAATCTCCCAACTTGCCTCTCCTGATGGTGATACTATGCAGCGAATTGCTTCGTATTTCACGGAGGCCCTTGCCGATAGGATCCTCAAGTCCTGGCCTGGTCTGTACAAAGCTCTGAATTCCACTAAACTAACTCTGGCTTGCGAAGAAATCATGGTGAGGAAGCTGTTTTTCGAGATGTTTCCTTTCTTGAAAGTGGCTTTTGTTCTTACTAATCAAGCTATAGTTGAAGCTATGGAAGGAGAAAAGATGGTTCATGTAATTGATCTCAATGCTGGTGAATCTGCTCAGTGGATTGCACTTCTTCAGACCTTGAATTCGCGGCCTGAAGGGCCGCCTCATTTGAGAATTACTGCAGTTCATCAGAGGAAAGAGGTGTTGGATCAAATCGCCCATAGATTGACTGAAGAAGCTGAGAAATTGGACATCCCATTTCAGTTCAACCCTGTTGTTAGCAGATTGGAGAATCTGGATGTTGAGAAGTTGAGGGTTAAAACCGGAGAGGCTTTGGCAATCAGCTCAGTTCTTGAATTGCATTCCTTACTGGCTCCTGATTCCGAACTATCAAGATCAAAATCCCCATTAGCGTTGAAGAGTCCAAATGGCATTCACTTACAAAGAGTCCTCCAAATGAATCAAAGCACTTTAGGGGAGTTGCTTGAGAAAGATATAGGAAACGGGTATAGTCCGAGTCTGATTCAACCTCGTCATCACCAATATCTTCAACAGCTTCGGCAAAGATGGATAGCTTTCTCAACGCACTGTGGGGTTTATCACCAAAGCTCATGGTGGTAACTGAACAAGATTCTAACCATAATGGTTCCACTCTTATGGACAGGTTATTAGAGGCCCTTTACTCTTATGCCGCATTGTTTGATTGTCTAGAGTCAACAGTATCAAGAACATCTTTAGAGAGGCTGAAAGTTGAGAAGATGATGTTTGGAGAGGAAATTAAAAACATCATAGCATGTGAGGGAGCCGAGAGGAAGGAAAGACACGAGAAACTCGAGAGGTGGATTCAGAGACTTGATTTGGCTGGCTTTGGAAATGTGCCTTTGAGCTACTATGGCATGCTGCAAGCAAGGAGATTGCTTGAGGGATTTGGTTGCGATGGCTATAGGATCAAAGAGGAGAATGGCTGCGTGGTAATTTGCTGGCAAGATCGACCACTTTTCTCGGTATCAGCTTGGAGCTGTAGGAAATAACAATGGATAAGGTCATGATTATATATATATATATATATATATATATATGAAGCCTGAGTTTTTCATATACTCGTATAGATATTCCTTCGTTATTGTTTTACCACTCAATGTAATGAACCCAACACTGATCTTTTAGTGTGCAATGATTAGTTAAGATTCATGTTTTGAATTCCTTTTCTATATTTCTCTTCTCTTGCACATATGTATGATCTTCATAATAATTCAAGCTATGTTCTGTTCAAAATGGGAGCAGTTAAGCTCCCAACAAAACCATTGAATGCTGTCTTAAATGCACACTGTCTTTCTGGAATTAAGCGACAGCATTTGAATGGGATAGATGCAGAAACTAACAGGGTAAACACCAGCCGAAGAACTAGACGCTTGACCTTAGTCGAATTGAGTATCTTTATCTCTTTTAGATCAAGGGTTCTGAGTATTCTAAGGACTATGCTACGTGGAATAGGATGGATGCTTAAAAAAAAAAAAAGCAAAAACTAGCCCAAAAACTGGTGTGTGTGTGTGTGTACATGTTGTGTTTGCAAATGTAGCAAAGTTGGAAACTTCCTTGTAATTTCCTTAGATAAAGAGAAATATGGCGGGCGTATTCATTATCTGATACTAATTTTGAAACGATCTTCATTACTAAAACTAAAATATCAGTTGTTCAACATAAACATTCAGCACCGAATCACCATTAAAAGACATTAAGAAAGCAATGGCTTATATCGCCTTATTCTTTTTCCTTCAATTTATCAGCCTTCTTGCTCTATCTGCCATGGCTTATGAACTGGGAGGAACTTCATAACCTGAATCACAAAACATTTTTGGATTTATCTTAAATATTTTTTCTTAAAGTACAGCCTAAGATAAACCGAGTTAAAATCAAACAATAAACTTACTTCCACATTTTGTTCCGGGAGAGAGTGGATAGCCACAAGATTTGGCAACATAAACGAGCTTCTCCATACTAATTGTCTCCTCAATTTCCTTGGTGATAATCTGGCAAGTGCATTTCATGGTAAACTGCTTTATGTAGTTGCAGCACTCCGGAGACGGCGGAAGCTGACTTCTATCTTTTCTGATGAAGTTCAGGCATCCCAACAGCACGCCCAGGCCGCGAAGATCTCCGCAGTCATCTTCCTCGGACGGAACATTATCAGTCACTCCCATGCAACCCAGTAACAACAATAATATGGCCAAACCCAGGGACTGAAACTTGAATAATAAGCTGGTTCTTGCCATTTCTCCAATTCTAAATCAATATGCAAACACGTATCTACATGTATATACACACTCAGGTAAGATGGTTATAAAGATTTTCGAGTTGGGAGGCTTTCTTTCTCTCTTTCTTTAAAATATATACCCGATTTAGTACATTCCTGAATTTTCTTTCAAACATTGAAGAGTCAGCCGTGATAAATCAATGCGTATATTTATTTTCATACATAGATATATAGATAAGCTCTCATTGATGAACATTAGGCAGAGCAATCTTGAATTGGTTGCTGAAATGACAAAAGAAAAAAAAGAAATAGTTACACAGTAAAATTGGTTTTCGAAGTCAAACTGTGTTTCTTCTTATCTCTTAAAAAAAAAATTATGTTATTATAGATGCATATATCTATTTAATTAATAAAATGTATCTATTTCTAATAAAATATTTTTACTTTTATTTTATTTTTTTTCCTAAATTATATATATATATATATATTTGGCTCCTATAAAATCTTTTTTTCTTTTGCTTTTTTTTTTTTGTTTGTTCTCTTTTGCTTTTTTCTAAAGCTTTTGTAATACGTGGGTATGAATCAGAAAACATGGTCTCAAAAATGGTGTGTAAAATATAGAAAATTTCTGAGCCTGAATTTTCCAGAGGAACACGTAGAGATATAAGATTAAGTAAATTAAATTATAAAACAATAGCTTAGAAAGTAAGAATTTTATGTAATTTTTTTTTAAAAAAAGCTAATAAAAGTTAGAAAATATATAATTTTAAATAAAAATTATATTTTTTATTAAATTCATTTATTCAAAACATAATCTAAGTCAGACAAATTCGTTATAGTTTTGAGAATTAAAATATTGGGTATAATATTCACAATTTTATTATTCCAAAATTGAGATAAAATTCATCAAATATAATTATTTGATAATTCAAATTTTCAGTGATTTTACCCAATTTTTAAAATTTATTTAAAATAAATTATTTAATAAACTTTCAATTTATAACGAGACTATATAAATTAACTTAATCAGTTTATATTTTAAACGGGTATTATAAAATTATCGTTCCAACTCTTACCAACATAATTAATAAAATAATAAATCAAAAATTTTTAAAAGACATTCAATGTAAAATAAACTAAAAAAAAAAAATTACGAGAAGCATTAAAATTTTCATTTATTGATGTAGTTGATGCACTTGTTCTCCATAGACAAACTCTCCCCTTTTACGCCATCATATTTCACGACGGCGGAACTGTAAAATCTGTTCGGTCAATAAAAAATATATATATATATTAGTAAAAAATATTAAAAAATTACGTTCGTAGTTAAATTTTATGTGAAAAATTCAAAGTAACATCTATAATTACTAAAAAATTTTAGTTTTTAGTGACGGAAAACAATACTTACTTCCACATTTCATTCCGGGTTTAAGTGGGAGACCACAAGTTCTTGCAACATAAACAACTTTTTCTATACTAACAATATTCTCAATTCCAGAGGGGAGGTGGTCGCAAAAGCATGGAATATCTATTTGTTTCACCACAGCACAGCAGTCAGCCGACGGAGGAACCTTTGGACCCGGAATTGTGACAAATTTCTGACACTTGGATGCTAAATCTATGATGTCAACCCCGCACAGAGCCACCACTCCATTGCTTCCAAAAGCGTGCGCCAAAACAATCACCAGCACTGCTACGGCCAAATAACGAGAGCTTGAAGCTGCCATAGTTTTCTTAGGCTAATGTTATTAGTGTATGTTTGTGGCTCTTGTTTTTTGTTTTTTTACTGTTTGTTTAGTTTATATAGTGATATTTGTAGATAAACAATAAATGATAATTTAATTATTTAAGATATTTTCTCAAAATGAATTATTGGGATTTGGTAACTTAATAATTATTTGTGATTTTATAATCCTTTTTATGAAATTGATTTTGGAGATATATATATATATATATATATATATATATATATATAGAAGCTTCAGAGGAAATCTCAAAATTAACGATGGTTGTCTTAATTTGTCATGTAACATATCTTAAGTTGCCCTATCAACTCCCAAATTAGAGCATGCTCGCTTAAAAAATTTGGATACTTTTTCAAATCTTATAATTAAATATCGGTGAGTAATTTCTAATTAAAATTAATTTATAAAATGTGATAATAATATGCTAATAAATGATTTTTATTATAATGTAAAACTTCATAATGTCAATAAATGTGACAATTATTCTGTAACTTAATAAATTAATAATAATAATAATAATATTATGTATTAGTATTGCATTAATTGTATAATATATAGATAAACTATTTATAAATTATGAGAATTCATTAAATTACAACATAATCGAAATAAGAAAAAAAAAAACATAAAATGAAACATAACTATCAATATTAGGATCGAACATATAAAATGTATTATGTATATAATTAATAAATATATAAAAATGTATATTTTTATGTTTTATTTATTATTTATATGCTAAACTAGTAAATATATGATTTTATCTTTTTAACTATAAATTTATTTTGTTCGCTTGATTTTTTAAGTTCATAATACATATTTGATCTCTTAAAATTATATATTAATACGATAAACCAATCTATCACATACGTTATTATATATATTTTATAATGTACTTAAATATAATGTAAAAATTCGTATGTAAATATTTTATTTTCGTATAAAACACACTTAAAATTTTATTGTCATACATAGTTTTGATGAGTGGGGAATGAGTTGTCTTTGTTAGTTGGAGGAGTAAATTATTGATGATTCACTGGTGTACACAAAGTCATTATAAGTGCCTAGTAGAATTGTCTTAAAAAAAAGTGCTTATTGGACTTCGTTTACTTTTTACACTCCAAAAAAAAAGTGCTTAGTAGATTTTCCTTAAAAAAAAAAGTGCTTAACACATTTTATACTCATCCATACTCAAAATTTAAGTTTGTAAGAGCTCAACAAGTTATCAGAAAGTGTTCATAATTTGCCTATAAAAAAAGAATTTAATGAGCCGGAGTCCTAAAAGATTAGGACCCAGCTGACCATGAACAAAATAAAATTTTTTCAACCCGGCCCGTCCGCTCAGTTGCTTGTGGATTTTCAAAATAAATGGATCCAGATACAAGCACGTACGGGTATCGGGTATTCGGGTTATGGGCTGACTCAAATCATTCTGCCCGAACCCTGCAAATCCCCTCCACCGGGATCAATTAGTCTTTCATCTTCCCTCCCGTTCCTTCTCTTTCTGCATATTTAACTGAAGCAACCTGAACGCTATCTCCCTCTCCTCTGCTTACACAAGCCTATAGACAGCTGAAGGAGGTTTTTGGCAGTACGAGAGGAGGTCATGAGTAGCTGGAAGAGTCTTCTTCTTCGAATTGGCGAAAAATGCCCAGAGTATGGCACCAGCTCTGACTTCAAAGACCACATAGTACGTACTGAGCTCTCTCCATTTCTCTCTCTCTCTCTCTTCTCTCTCTACATATACATACAAAATATATATTTCCGAATAGCTGTTTATTTATTTCCTGCATTATCATTTCGTTCGTTTCTCTGCGTAAAATCTAAAACCCTAAGTTGCTCTTAGAAATACATTGTTTTCAGTTCTGAATTTGTTTCTTCTTCTGTTTGTTTTGAGGTTAATGATGGGCTCATTGACATATTTGTTTCGCTTCTGGTTCTATCCTTCTACCTATTTTGTTTTAAAATTTACAGGAAACGTGCTTCGGGGTTATTCGGCGAGAGTTGGAGCTCTCGGGAGACGATATTTTGCACGTAATATTCACCTATTTTTTCTTTGAACTTGCTAAATTTATTTTGTAAATGGCGGTTTTCTTAATTACTGCATGATGGCATATACGTAGTTATATTCATTAATTTATTAGTTGATTTGATAGGCCCCTTGCCAGGCCTAAACTTAGTAACCTATTCTGAGCATGATTTTGATCCTTGGCGCGGTGAATCTAAGAGGTTTAGCTGAAGACATGCATCTTTTGAGCTTGAAGAATTGAAGTTAATAAAGTTGAACTTCAAATAGTGAAATAGCATACAAATAAGTTAGAGAAGGAGAATAAAGAAATGGGCGTATCATTCCATAGGAATTCTTTTTCCACCATAAAATTTTCCCTGCACGCACAAGGACACACCACTATGTCCTGCAGACACAAGGACACACCACTCTGCTCTGAACGCATGCGGACTCACCACTGCTCATGCAGAAAGGGTGATATTTTGTTGTACTCTTTGACAACAGATTGTGGGATCTATAAATTGGAACAAAATGGGGTTATTAGTGAATGTGAAAACTGTAATACTTTGATAAGTGGTGCATCTGTCCTGTTTTCATTTATGGTGTTGCTAGCTTTAGTTGTATTAACTTATATTTAGCAGCATGCAGGGCACTTTCCTTACTCATGAATTGATGAGTTTCACTACGATCAAATTGGAGAATCTTTTTACTTTCAAATTTTATTTGCATTATTATGTTATTTGTTTATGGAAATTATGTGGATGCTATTAATTTTCATTCACATTTTTTTTTTGTTTTCTATTTCACATCCTTCCTTGTTTTATTAATGCAGTCTATTTGTTTCTCAAGGACATGCCTTGTGCTCACATACAAACAAGTGCAAAGCAAGAAATGTCTATTGATATGAGAGTGCTAATTCTTTTTAATTTTTCTCATCATCCTCACAGTTTCTTCTCCAATGTGCTGAGCAACTGCCCCACAAGGTTCCTCTCTATGGTACATTGGTAAGAGACTTGTTATCTTTGTCCTTCACTTCAGTACCCCCTTCAAAATTTTTTTGTATGTATATTGCATATTTCTGTATATATCCATGTATGAAAACAGACAGAAATGGATGTCAACCTTGTAGTTCATGTTCTCGAAGTTACCTTTTTATAGCAGAATAAAAACAGAAAGAATATTCTTAATGAAAAAGTAAATGGAAACCTCTTACCAAAGGAAAAAGGAATATTAACCTTGCGTATGAACATTCGTTACATATATGGATGAGAATGCATCATCTAGGATCA